AGTTACCTTTTACTGTACTTAATATTTATACATTTAACTTTATCATAGTTATGAACACTTACGGAGAAACATTTTAAACATAGAATTGAGTATTACCTGATAAGAGTTTTGGAACATATAATCCTATGATAAAGGGGATTACTGGACTAATGGATTTGACAAAAGACTTTTCTTCCGTGAACGATACTATAGACAAACGTATCAAGTATTTGACAAAGTAGGAAAAGATTTTCCAAATAAAGTGAGCAAGGGGTTAACATCTAGAATATATGAGTTTTACAAACCCACAAAGAGTAAAAGCACAATTTAAAACAGATAAAACTAGGCACTTTGTCAAGACAAACCAGCTATATACTCTCAACAAATTGGTAAAAATTAGTGGTAAGTCAGCTGTAGATGAAGCATAGGAAAAGAGTACTCTGTGTGCTGCTGAATAGGCGTTTACATTGCTATAGTCATTGTAGAAAGCAGACTGGGCATACTTAGTGGAAATAAATACGATCCAGTAATTTATTCCAGGGATTTATCCTGAAGAAACTTGAGTCCAGGTTCACGAGGGGACACACACAAAGATGTTCATTGTAACAGCAAGTTAGAAGCAACTGGGTGCTCCTCACTACAGGAATGAGTAAGTAAAATGTGGTGTACACATGTCATGAGATACTGCCCAGCATCCAGAAGTAATACAAGAGTATTAAATATATTAGCATAGGTAAATCTTTGACATTAAATTTAAAAATTAAAAAATGATCAGACTAAAGCTCACTGTATAATGTCATTTAGGCAAATTAGAAACAGATGCACATACAAAAAATACTAAACGTTTCAAGGAAGCACATACATCAAAAGGAATCTGTGAGTTTAGAGCATGTATGTAACAGAAGATGATGACAAAATAATAAAAGCTTACAAAGGGATATTTTTGCATAGACAGTATACATTGAAATATCTAACTGATTTAACATCATCATGCAATAGACATTAAAATATATAATTATATTTTACAGCATTCCCAGGATCTAAGTCAAACATAATTTTTTTTTAAAAGGCTTATGCCTCGGTCCCTCATTCTCAGTGATATATACATATTCAGTGATACTCTTCAAAATGTAATTTATGTTCTCCCCAAAAAGCCTTTTAAATTCTCTCATTCATATAAATATCTTTCCGAAACCAAATGCTTAATATAAGTTGTTCTATAACATTTAAAACTTAATAATACATAAGCTCTCTACTGCTCTGTATTGTGCTTTGCCTAGGGATTCCTCAACTAGATGTTAATGTCTTAGAGAACAAAGAGAGTTTTTAAAAGCTTCTTGCTATGCCTAAGGCAGTACTGTATACACAGAAAAATCCTAATAAATATGTTAATAGATTTTCTGTGGCAACAGAAAACACTTGTAATTGTGGTGGCATGAAAGGGATGGGTAGAATTAGAAAGACAATTGAAACAATTTGTTTTGCAACTGGAAAGTAGCTATAAAAATGTAGACTAGAAGTTTATTTTATATTCAAAATTTCTTTTCCAACTAGAGGAGGACAGAGATGGAATAATCCATATTACACTGTAACTGGAGTGGCTTTCCAATGGAAAGAGAAAGAGTTTTCTTTAAGTGCATCTCTGTTTCAAGGCTCCCTTCTATTTTCTTGATGTTTTCTTATATATGTTACCCTCAGTGAATCACTACCTCTGACAGCCTTTATTTTCTGATTGTCACAGGCCATGAACTATGTTTTTCTTTGCTGAATACTTAAGAGATTTGTTTTTATTCCAATCTAAAAACTAGAGTTACTAATACAGAATTCTAAACATGCTTCCTCAACCTGGAAAACTATTCAAAAGTCCTTTTACACTTTCAAGGGAAATGTATTTATATTGCTTTTGATGAAAATTCATTTATGTTTCCCAATATATGAATTAATTTTTTACACTAGTCTATTGTGATTCATGCTTATAATATCATGATAAACTGAGCGATGTCTTCAGTGAGATTTAAAATCTCACTTAGTTGTGCTTTCAGAAAATATGTGTAGCTCTCTCAGTCCTTTGAAAAGTGAAGAAGAAATGTAGCATGGTAATTAAAGAGTAGATAATGCAAATGGGAATCCATCATAGATATGAGGTAAAAAGACAAGGGTAGAGTATCTATTTTAGCTACTTTCTAAATTTATTACCTGAACTAAGTTAATGAACATTAATGAAACATTGTTTTCTTTTTGTATGATAAGATAGAAGGATCTCTTTATTAACAATAAGATTACTTGGCTACTAAAATAAATCATGTACCTTTAAGAACTTGGGAAGATAAGTAAGGAAAGTGAGCTTCATTTTAGTAAGTCTAGTGAAGAAATGGGCTTGAAATATAGAAAGTAATCAATATATATCTGGTGAAAGAATTCATCAAAAGGAAAAACTTTTTAGACTAGTGGGGAAGTTAAATCACACAAAAAAAAAAGCATCAAGAAGAGAGACTCTCAGGCCAGTCAGGTAGTAAATGAGAAGAACAAACTTACGAAGGCAGAGAAGAATATCTCTTTTTTCAGGATTTGGTACCAGGAAAAAGCTTCAGAAACCAAGGTAGCTGTAGTAAGTTCTTCAAACTCCATGCCTATAGAGAAAATCAGCAAGCATATGTTAGAAAATTAAGATTCATAGTTTGAATGTTGAGTGAAATAAATCTAACACACAACTTAAATACCATATAATATCTCTCATTTGATAAAGGGAAAGTAGAAAGAACATAATAAAGGAGAAACAGAAGGAAATAATGGGACAGATCTCTTGCAAACAGGAAGAGTCCAGGAGCCCAAGGGCATAAGGAAAGGGGAAGTTAAATTAAGATAAGCCATGTTTAGGATCCTAATAATCTCAATAATTAAACATTGAGTTATGAACATGAGTTAAGATGAATAATATCAATAAGAAAAAAAAAGGGAAGGAAATTTAGAAGAGGAGATAAGGAGATAGCTTGGGAGGGGATTTTTAAAAAAAAACAACTATGTTATATACATGTATCTACTCCCCAAGATGAATATAAACTTCATGTACTACAAACATGTACTAAGAAAAATATTGATTTATAGTATATCTCAATACTTGGATTTACATTTGAGGCAGCTAGAAGATAAGGCAAAGCAGGAAAGTATCTAATTTAATGAAATCACTAGAAACTTTGGGTTAGAGCAGTGTTTTGATCCAAGTGCTACCATAATGACAAAAATTCATCTTTATGTAAAAATGCAGATTTTAATTCTGAAAAGAGAACACTGTAGTATTATAATATTCCTTGTAGAATTATTTTGAATATTGAACAAGTGGTATATGAAAAGGAGTTAAAATATACTTAACATGATATATTCTTTATTACCTGGTGTCCTTATCATCACTATAGTTGTTACTGCAGATTTTATGCCCAACAAGTATGTATCAGTTAATTCGATATATATTTTCACTTTGGTCCAGAACTTAATTTGTGAATGGCTTATTTTTGTATTTTCTTCTATGTGTCTTTTTATTCTTTTTACTGATTATTAACCCCCATTCCCCCAAATTTCTTTCTCCTAGCAATACTGAGAAGAAAAAAGGGCTAAGTGTATCAATCTAGGGATAGCAAGTTATCTGCGTGGCTGTCATCTGGTCAAGTAGGTCCAGAACGTCAGAAGACCAGAAAAGCCAGGTCAGAATAAAGGGAAGAAGAAAGCAATACAGGCATTAAATTTTCTTTAAATGGATTCATACAAGATTTAGATTGTACCACATCAAAAACACTTAGAGTACCTTCTCAATGACAGACACACACTTCTTAATTTTGATTACTTGTTTAAATAATACCTTTAGGGCAGGGGATTTAGCTCAGCAGCACTTCTACCCGGCAAGCTTGAGGTGGGGAGATCGATCCCCGGTTCCAAAAATAAATAAATAAATAAATAAATAAATAAATTTAAAAAATAAAATTTTCATTTGGGTGGAGAGTAAGAATCTTGCTGCTCAAAAGCTACTGGTTTATAAGATGCATATTTTTAACAGTAGACATTATTAAATATGAATGATATCAAAACTTTTGAACTAAACAGAACAATAATGAATTAAAATGTAAGATTTATTATATACAACATATTGGTAATAACGTCCCAGAACCTATAATGGAGGTAACAAAAAATATGGCTTATTAGTTGCTCAATCATGCTTTCAGAAAAACTTAGTTCTGGTGAAATGTGTTATACTGTCAAGCAAAACCATTAAAATGGCTGAATCAGTTTTGAATTTATTCCCAAAAGGTTTTACTGTGACAGAAACAGGCCTCCTTAGTCCCCCGATTTAAACTCTCTGATCAGATAGTTTCGATGTTACTCGTTAGTTAGTCAGGCATTTTGATGTAAGCATGATACAATAAAAGGGAAGGCGAGGCACGAGTTAGAGGAAGATGGGAGGCAGGCTAGGTTTCCCTTCCAATTTTGGCCAAGCTTTCAGGCTGAGGAAACTGTTTTCTAGGATTGAGATTCCCAGAGCCATCTCAGTCCCGCGATTCCACACAGAACATGTGGTTTTTCTAGGCAAACGGTGTCCTAACTCATGAAGCTTTTGCGAATATGAAGTTTAGGGGCTACACGGTGGCAAAACTCCTAACCCAAAGAGGGGAAAATAAAGAGTGCGCTGTACCTAAGAATGGGACGATGGTCGGGTTTGCTTGTTTGCTTAGAAGTCCACTCAGAGGGATAGGCAAGGAGACAGACATACTTGTACTGATTGCAGACGGGATGCCCATGAGGTACAGAGATACTCTCCACAGAAGAATAAGGTGAGAGTGAAACGAGGCTGGCGTCGAACAAAAGCGCTGTCGGGTCGCAGAGATAATTTCAACCTCAGACTTCTCTCAGACTGACTGGACTGCGGAAAGCCCGTGGGCGGGGAGGCAAGACCGCCGGAGACAGCCCCCGCCGCGTCCCGCCCCTCTGGAGCCCCGCCCCTCCATAACCCCGCCCTACCGACGGACCAATCGTCGGCCCGAATGTTAGCGGGTGGGAGGCGCGGCCGCGTTGCTACAGCCAGAACTGGGCGGCGGCGGGTGCTGCTTGGGAAGACTCCCGGACCCCCGGGCGGCGCGCAATGGAGGGGCTGGAAGGTGAGGAGGGGAAGGGTTGCGGGCGAAGCGGCCTCGGCGGCCTCGGAAGCCTCGGAAAGGTTGGGGCGGTAGACACCAGTCTCAGGGAGGCGAGGGCAGACTTGGAGCAGCTGAGCCTGCCTTGTAGGCGGAGGCCCGGGCGGCGGTGGCCAAACAGCCCCCGGCGCTGCGGGGCGACAGACTCCCTGGCGGCTCCACCTCTGACGATCTTCAGCTGGCTTCTGTAGCCTAAACCGCCTCTGGCTCGCGTCTGCATGACCTTTCCTACCGTTTTCTTCTCTTTCTTGATACTGGGTTTTCTTTCGGTATTTGCCGACTCGGGTTAGATTTTATTTTCTTTGCAAACTGGCCTCTTCGGTGATTTCCACGACCTCCCCAGCCCCGATCTTTGCTGTTCTCTTAGACTACCACCCCGCCCTGAGCGAGCTCCTGACACTCCTTGGTCAGTTTCCCTAGGTAACTGTTTTCCATTTTCACAGCATCTTCTATGGAAGAGATGCCAGAGCATCTCTTAGGAAATGTCACTGGCCACCTTTAGAACTGGGACAATGGATTACCAGAAGGACTTACTGGTTTATTTACAGGGCTATTTAGAAACAGCCAGCATTGGTTCCTCGTCTTTGGTTTATGCTTGTGTTGTAACCATGACTCCAGATTGGCTTTGTTCTCAGTTCTTTCACTTGTTTTCATTTTCCTTACCCATTTTATCCTGCACAGGGACAGCATTCGCTTAAAAATAAAGGAAAGAAAGGGGCCGGGGGTTTAGCTCAGCGACATAAGCGCCTGCCTTGAAAGCAGGCAGTCGTGAGTTCGGTCCCCGGTACCGATAAAAAGGAAAAAGACATACATAAATAAATAAAACCCCAAATAGCATTGGCAACGACAGTGCCAACTGTTTTTAAGTTGATTTTAAATCCTTCTGATGAAGAACAAGCTTTCAGTATTGAAAGATGCTGTTTTGATTTAGCTTTCTTTTTACTCCAATGTATATACATTGAGTTGGAATTAAGCATGAGCAGAGGCATTGTGTCTTGTATAATATTGTGTGATACAGCCTAAAATATTTCAAGTTGTGTTATAAAGTGAAAAGTGGTAACTAGTAACTTTTTCAGTGATTTAAGCATACCAGATGGCAAATTCAACAATATGAGTTTATTTCATTTATAGACTCTCAAGTGAGGTAAAGGTCTCACATAAAACACTTTGAGGATAATAGAGAATCAAAGAATTTAGATAATTGTCAGTTTTTGCTTAACTGCAATATGCTATGACCTGTGAAGGTCTTGCTGTTTATTTTAGAATTATCAGTCAAGTTTCCTTGAAATAGAGAATAGTAACGATAGTATTGTATTCTTCTTTTTTTGTTAAAGGTACTCTTGCTTAAAGGGCTCTTGGAGGCATCTTTTTTTTTAATTTTAATTATTTAAAAATGTGGTGGTATTATAGCAAAGTGAAATAGGAGCATGGGCTTTGGAGTTATTACAAAGTTATCTTAAAGCACGTCAAGTTATTTAGAGCAATTTGCACTATTTTATTATTTTATTCAACACTTGTAATAAGTAGTACTCTTCATCTAATTTTTCACTTAATTATCCTGACCTTAGGATGCAGAAAAGAATAAAATTAGTTAAAGCCTTCTCCATTTTAGTAGTCCTTGTATGTTAGCAATGTTGACATTCTTGAAACCTTGCTAAGAATGTTTTTAAAGTATAATGGAAACATACTATTCAATTATCTGTTGTCAAAGAGACAGCTCAGTGGCATAAGCACCTGCCCGGCAAGTACAAGGTCCTAAGTTCAATTTCCGGTACCAAAAACCAGACAAACAAAAATCATAATAATTATCTGACAGGAGAAAACATAGATTCTGACATAATGTAGTATGGGCACTTTTTTATATATAAAATATATATATATTATAAAATATTATAATATATTATAAAATATCATTATAATATATATTATAAAATATATTATATAGATAATATATTATAAAATATAAAATATTATCTATATAATATATAATATTTATAAAATATATATAATATATTATATATATATATATAGTGCCTACCCTTTCCTTTTATTGTATCATGCTTACATCAAAATGCCTTACTAACTAATCAGTAACATCGAAACTATCTGATCAGAGAGTTTAAATCGGGGGACTAACGACGCCTGTTTCTGTCACAGTAAAACCTTTTGGGAATAAATTAAAAACTAATTCAAAACTAATTATTAAATTATATAAAATTAAACAATATACTAGGTATTTATTCATCTTTTCCGTAACAAAGAAAGATATTGGTATTAACTGTGGTATATTTAATTGCAATGAATTATGTAGAAATACATAAAAATGTTCTTTTTCTGTGACAAAACAGTTGACTGTTAGTAATTTTAAAGGATCAACCTAATAAAGGCTGTGAAAGTTTTCTCTTGAAGGGAAGACAGTACCTTTCTGGGTTCACTATTTCCCCACATATCCCTTTTATTTATTTTTGTTCGTTTTGGTTTTTGGGGGGTATTAGGAATTGAACTTATGACCTCATACTTGCTAGGCATGCACTATGTTTCTGAGCTATATCCCCACCCCATATACCTTTTAAAAATTCATTCTTATTACATCACATTTTGCAGCGATCAAAACTTTGGATCTTAAGACTACCATTCATTAATTCATGCATCCACTTAAACATTGTAGTGTGTAAGGTAGTTTCTTTCCTTTACTGAGAGTTAAAATCTAGTATTTTAAAGGGTTTTGATAAACCTTATATCAAAGTATCTAGTATAAATCTTCAAGTTTAGATGGGTAAGTCATCCTAGCACTTTGGAACTCTGAGACAGGAGGATGGAAAGGTCAAGTCCAGCTTGGGCAACTTAATGAATCTCTGTCTCAAACACAAAGCAATAAAAGAAGGACTGAGGATATAGCCCAATGTAAAGGCCCTGCGTTTAATCTTAATATTGAAAAGAAAATCTTCAAGTTTCATTACTGTGTCATGGTAAATGAACATAGAGTGTACACTTTGGCGTTAGACTTAACATTTCTAGTTGAAACCAGTTGCCAAACTTGTATTCTTTGTTTTCATTCCTTGTGTATTACTTATATTATTTTTGATTTGGAATTTTCATGCTTTTCAGATAGGAAAAGATGAACTATTAGACTAAAGAACAATATTTTGAAACCAAGCGTAAGTTACTGCTCATGATTTTGTATAATCAGTAACAACACTTCTGCATGATTTCAGTAATAAACAAAATCTACTAGATCCAGTAGAATGAAGATGGAAAGGTGTTTCAATTTGCCAGTAATTTGCAGGTATCTCAATTTGTTAAAATGTATACTGTGCCCTAGTTAAAGAAATTTTTCTTGACACTAACCATGTCCCAAAGATAGTATTATAACTTTCATCTTTCACCTTATTCTTTTCTTTACTGTGTTTATCATCACCTGATATTGTGTGTATAATTATTTATTTGTCCCCTAGTTAGACAAGTAGAAGCTCTGTTAGATTAGACTTTTTACTTTCTTCATCCTCAGGATCTTATATCTTAGACCAGTTCTTCCTTCAGGTTAGATGCTCAACAAAAATTTCTTGAATCAGTTTTCTTTTTATTACTTTAGTAGTACTGGGGATTAAACCCAGAATTTTTACAGTGAACAGTGTCACCAGCCATTTATTTATTTATTTTGAGGCATGGTCTTAATAAATAACGAAGTGTCCAAAGATGGGCTAAATGTGATCCTCCTGCCACAGCCTTCTATATTACGGGGACTACAAATTTGTGTCATCATCCTGGCTCACTTTAATATATAAATTAAGTATGATAAAATTTGCTGAAATTGACATAGGGAGCAATTCAGAGGGAGGGAGGGACTGAGCAGAAAGTACCAGTATTTTAAAACTTATTACTCAGAATATTGTCCCTGAATATTTCTCAGAGGTAGACAAGATTTCTGATGAAAATAGTATGGGGAAGTAACATACTAAGTTTCATTTTTTTAAGACCAAGGAAGGTCTGCTGTAAGAAAACACATTTGACATTATTTAATGTAGCATTTTCTAAACATTTGGCTATAAACCATAGGATTACATATTCTGATTGGTCATTTGGCAATAAGTTTATATATTTGCATAGACACTTAAGATGCTCACTTGAGTATTTACAAATGCTTAATTAAAATTTTTATTTAAGTATTAATATTAATGATATTTATTTACACTTAATTGTATGTAACGTAACTATTTATAATTCAGTACACCCATTGTGTGTTTCAGTGGATGTACTAAATGCATCCATCAGGCTGACAGTATTAACTGGCGTTTATATTGGTGTGAGGGGGTAAAGCTTATATTATAAACATCCTAAAAAATCATGCTAGATTTTTGTCTTATTTTACTTTTTTCTCATTACTGAGACCTAATGTCAGACCCATTGTTAAAGGGATAAAGGTTTATTTAACTTACAGTTTGTAGAGATTTCAGTTCATAATCAGCTGGCTCTAAGGCAGAGTGGCACATGGTAGAGGGGAAACAGTTCATGGTGGCAGAAGACAGCAAAGGCAGTGAGAGACAGAAAAAAGTCTCTTTCTGTCCCTTGTATTAGAGCATGCCAATCCAGTCAGTGGGCAGTTCCAACAGTCACCACCGTAAATCCTAGCACCCTTAGTCCTAGCATTGAACCATGAATCAATCATAAAATGTAGATTCAAATACCTCCAAAAAAGCCCTATCTAAAAGTGAATGGGGCTTTGGAGAAACATCTGGACACAAACCATAACATGCTTATTTCAAAGGTAGGTCTTATTTTGGGGGAAAAACAATAACATTTTTGGACTGTGATTAACCATGTGTGCAGAAAGTAAAACCATGGGTGAGTTTATCTTGAAAAGACTGTATCTAGAAAATATGAGTGACTAGGGGGTCAACAAATTGACAGAATTTGGAAGTCTATAAAATTGCCCCATGAATAGTATAAGTTTCTAGAAAAGTGAT